ACACTTAGGTCACGTCAAGGTGCTGCGAAGCTGGCCCGGCGAAATTGTCACCCTGCGAGGAATATTCCACGTTTTTATGGTGAATTTTTATGGTTTATGGTTAATTTATGGTCATGGTTAATTTATGGTTTATTAATAACCACGTTTATGGTTAATTTCCACGTTAATACTCCACGCTCCTGCCCACTTCCACGTGACTCGCTGCAGAGACCAGGGGCACGGCTGGTCCATCGTCAACTTTTATGACGCAGCCTTGTCGTCAGCAGTACTGACGTCACACCACCAGCCATTCACGGCCAGCTGCGTACCCTCTCCTGCATCGTTCAAAACTAATTAATTGCATGACCTGTTTCATCATCGTGTTGAAAATACTGGGCCAAACAAGCAATTCCTTTCACTACACTCAACACCAGCGATCCACAGCACAACTGAGTACCCGCTGCTGTACCCTTCGAGGCTTGTTGATTGTATCTTCTTTTGTTTTATCCTCTTCGTTATACTGGATCAAATGAGCTGTTTCTTTCGCCTCACTTACTTTTTTCGGCCCTCACTACCACTCTGCCATCTCAGTTCAAATCAAATCGCAAAGGTAAGTAACTCTTTACGACATGATATTACTGCAGCTCACACTGAACTTGAAACGTCATTTTAGATACTGGTCCACGTTTAAACATAGATTGTGAATGTTTAACTTAAAGAGCATAAAGTCAGCTCACCAGCATCAGGCTATGAAAAACATTCGCGATACGACTCCTAAAGGCAGGTTTCTTCCTTCTGCAAACTATAGGAAGACACGACCAGTGGCTGAAGATATCCTAACCTGTAGAAGACATAACGCCGGTGGCGACGTGGGTCAGGCCGTTCCAAATACGTATATCTCATTGGTTAAGTCAAGCTCTCTCGACCTTGGACATCGATGGTATTATAAATACTTGCCGTGATGCTGTCTTACAGACTCTGCATGCATTTTTGGTCTCAGCACATGTATGCTATTGCAAACTAATGCAACCCATTATGCATGACCTAATCGAGCAAATATCCTCGTGAACACCATAACGGAACAGTCGAAGCAGTAATGCATTGCACGTGCATCGCACACAGTGACTGCCATAACACTCCATAGCTTTACACAACGCTTAACTGGGATGACAAAACCTTCTGCTATGTATCACCAGCTTTCACAAAATTTTTGACGCAGGCTTATACTATGCATGTTTCCCGAACAAGCATGCGCAAAATGTTCGAGCACTGTGTTTGATATAGAGATGGGTCAACTCCATGCCTGTTCGGACACCCATACGCCGGTTTGCACACAGCATTGACAATAATTTGACCAAGAGTTACGCTACGGACATCTGTTGACGAAGAGGGAGATTCATAGAATTAGGACATGTTTAGTCATGGACTACTCCGGACTGAATACGAGAACCCAAAAGCTATACGGATTGCAACAAGTTTCAACCAATATGTTGACCAATGTAGCTTACTTTTTAATGCCAATCACTGTTGTGGAATCCAGGCGAAGATATCACTTGATGTAAACTATGCATACTTCACAACACTGGTTTCCGATATTCTGGACTCCTGCGCTAAAGATAAGTGATGTCCAGCATACCAGGAGGTAATATAAGGAATATTTAAGCCGCCATGGGATTATACGCCTAGCATGAAAATGCTCGACGGTTCATAAAGGGTGTATAGTGACTGGTGTTGTAACGTTATGAAGTTTCCGGGGTCCTCTTTGCCTCCTCAAAACTGCTGCATTAAATGAGCTGCTGAAAAATTGGTTGAGCTCGCGCGTTTAAGCGTCATGCAGTAGCTCAGGGAAGCCATCATTTCACGGAATCATTGTGCTAATTCCACATTATTTCAAGACGGCCCAGACAGTCCTTGAACTCTCGCTGCTCACGCTGGTGCCGCCCTCTATATCCTCCCAGCTGCCGCAAGATGTCACCATTGCTGTGGACCCTGATGCGTTGATCGGCCTCGGTCGGAGGAGCTGGGTGAAACATCCCGGATACCAGCATAAACAGTTCGTTATGATGCTGATGACGACTGCTGATGTCAAGAAAAGGTATCATTAAAATATTGACATTCCATGAAACACCTTCAAATGCCGCTGCAAGTGACCGCTCGTGTCCAAAGTACAAAACATGTTGGAGGCATAAGCTGCTAGAAAAATTATACAGGGCCTTTTTCAGGAAGGCCACACAACATCGACTGGATAGACAACACCAATAAAAACGATAGTAGGTGGGAACATCATCATCATCAACAAGAACATCAGCGTCAACATCAGCAGGAATACCATTAACACCAACGAGATCAATCCGTGAGTGCATGGAAATCAGCTGTCTAAAATAATCATCTTATTGCTGGTAGAACGTGTCAGGAACCAAAACTCCTTGGAACGAGCTCTGTCTCGAATAAAACGGTAGTAATAGCCATATTCCCCGTAGAGCAAAACGGAAGAATTAAGACATACATTTAACTGAGAATACATATATATATATATATATATATATATATATATTATATATATATTATTATATATATGTGTGTGTTGTGTATGTGTGTGTAATTCATAACCATATTCTTCTTATTTTTACGAGAAATAAGGCTATTAATACTATCTTTCTATATGGCATAATGTTGACTTACATTGGTAAAAACTTTCTTTCCGCACGCGAATATCATGAAAATCCGCATAGCGATTTACCCTGTAGAATAATATGGTGTTGATGTGTACAAATCTTGTGATTTAATCTTCTGTGAACAACTATAACTTGTTCGGTAAAGTGTGGGAAATGGATGCCATTTGGTCACGTGTGTGCTGGAAAGAAAAAAGGCGCTGTTAATGCTGGCTAGCATCTGACTGTCCTCTTTAAGCCAAATTTTTCTGATTCTGCGAGCAGGGCTCCTGACGGAAATTGATTGGAAAGGGCAACTTACTAAACGAAAATTGACGTGTATGATTTTTTTTTAACGGAAATCACTTTAATTCCCTTCGATTTATGTCGAAAGATGTCTGCCCTCGTCTTTTTTCTAGCGACGGATTACTCAGACTGTTCGCCTTAACATATTGGTATTGGTTTGCATGCGTATTAAGCTGGGAGTTTTGTTGTCACTTGACGCCTCTCTTCTCTTCAATGAGTAGACAGCAAATTTGCTGTGCGTTATTAGTAATAAAAGTTTCAAGGCCAAAATGTGTTGGCATGAAAGGATTGCCTGAATGTTTTGTCACATTTGACGTTAAATGCCACCTAAGTACTATATAGTCACAATATTACGGGAATTGATACACATACTCGGCCCAAGATCTATGTGGTTGCTTTAAGTCCCAACGCTGTCGTGAACGGTTGTAAGCATATTGATGGACAGGTGTTTTAGAGACAGGGAAAGATCATGAGCTTGCTTCTTGACCAGTCATGATCAGGGGAAAGCGCCACATAAAACGACGGCATCTCGGCACGTCGGGTATTCCGAGATGTCAGCAAACTCAGTAAGGTGATGGGTGTAAAAAGATAGTTTTTTGTAAGAGTGGCCGACGTACGGTCTGCTCTGGCTATATTCTCCCGACATTCAGAAGTGCGCACAATACGCCACGGAGACGGCTTATTAGTGCACGTCGGTGCGTTAATGACACTATACACCATCGCCAGGTCACAGAGCGCTGGTTCATGGTGTGAACGTGATCGAGTCATCGGAGTAAACGTGATCGAGTGGACGTGATCGAGTCATTGCCACGGCCCATTGGCATGCATAGCGAGGAAGTGCGGGAAGCCAGAAACACACACAGCCAGTAGTGGACCATCTCCTATATCCGCTGGTGACCACCGATCCGTTGATCGCCAGCATCATCGAACCCGACATCGACAGACCCAGGCGCCGACGGTAGCCCGCGGGCCGGCTCGAGCACAGTGGACGAGAGTGCACAACGGCGTCGAGAGGTGAAACAGCACGGCGGACTAAGATGAGCGAAATGCAGTGCCTGTGGTCGTGCGTACGAGCTAACCTTGTCGAGCCGTTTGAAGTTTAACATGCATAGCTTGCAATTGGATAGCTGATGCTAACACACGTTTTTGCTTGTTTTGGTTTAATTTCACATGGTTGGTTTTTGAAGTTGAACTGATTATTACGACCCAGACTAAACAGGTCCCGCTTGTTAAATCGGGCGTGACAAACATAGCAGACGACATTATTCCACGACACGTCATAAAATAATGAGACGCACGCGTTAATATGTTTGCTGCAATCTTGATGTGATATATTATCCAGTTTGGTGCTGATTTCTGTAATGCGTTGACTTCCGTCATGTGAGACTATGGGTGTTCAATGACACATCAAAGTTTGAAAAGCAGCAAAACTAATGTATATTGAGCTTAGTTTTGGCGCTCATGATGCGATCATGTGCTATGGCACTAACATTGCCAGAGAACAAGACAAGCACATGTTTGGTTTCATATGAACTTAAGACGACGCTTATGTGATGGTTGGCTACCGAGCTAAAGGTTTCGGCCACTTCTGAACTCGAAAAAACGCAGTGTGCCGCGGCGCCGCGCCCTCATTGGTTCGTCCGCCCGTCCCAGGGTCGCACAATGGCCGTCAGTATAAAACGGGCCGGCCGGCTCCGGTAGGCACATCTCACTCAACCTCCTCTCCAGTCATGAACCCCCTGGTGAGTTGTGGCGAAAGCTGAGGCCTGTGTAGGGGACAAAGGTCCTTAACACATAAAGCACCAAAAAGTCTGCCTTTTTATTCGATGCCTCCAGATCGTGAGCTAAAAACAGCTATGTACCGCTAAATCGAGCCTGATCAAGTTTGCAACAGTCACGGTAAACGACCATCTCTGATAATTCCGCTGCGTTTCTCGCAGCAAGGTGAACACAGGCGCGGCCAGTGTTTCGCAGAAGTCGGCGACACGCCCAGCCCAACGTGGTTGTCCAGCAGACGGCTGCACTGTCCGCCCGCTAACGCTGTCCGCCCGTCTCCTGTCGCAGGTTGTTCTCAGCGCCCTGGTGGCGATTGCCAGTGCCGCGCCCGGCAACTACGCCGCGCTCGGCTACTCCGGCCTCGGCTACACCGGCCTGGCGCACGCACACGGCTACGCCGCCGCTCCGGCTGTCGGCCTGGCCCACGGCTACGCTGCTGCCCCGGCCGCCGTCGCCTACAGCAACGTGAACGCCGCCGTGCCGGCCCCCCTGCCCACCAACGGCCTGTCGCCTGGTCTGCCGGCGCTGGTCAAGAAGACTGCCATCTCCGCTGCCGGCCGTCCCGTCACCCGCATCACGCCGCACATCACCCGCGTGGAGCCTGAGATCACGTACAAGAAGGTGGACGTGCCCGTGCCCGTGGCGCGCCCCGTGGCCGTGCGCCGCCCGGTGCCCGTGCCGGCCCCGTACGCCGTGACCCCGGTCGTCGAGACCACCGAGGTGGTGCAGCCCGTCGTGCAGCCCGTCGTCCGCCACGCCGTCACCGCCGTGCGCACCGCCCACGTGGCCGCCGCCCCCGCCGCCATCGGCTATGCCGGTGTGGCTCACGGCTACGCCGCCGCCGCCCCCGCCGCCGTCGGCTACAGCGGTCTGGCTCACGGCTATGCCGCCGCCGCCCCCGCCGCCGTCGGCTACAGCGGTCTGGCCCACGGCTACGCCGCCGCCGCCCCCGCCGCCATCGGCTACAGCGGTCTGGCTCACGGCTACGCCGCCGGATACGCCGGTCTGGCTCACGGCTACTCCGGCCTGGTCCTCAAGGACGCCGCCGTCGAGAAGTCCGACTAAACGCTCCAGCTACCACCCGTTGGCGAAAATTTCAGGCGTGCCTTTGAGTGAGAGACGCCTGAATTGTCGCTGGTGCTGCTGAATACCAGGTGCATTGAGTTCATGTCAAGTCTGTCACCCTTCGTCAGCGCCCTTCACGATGTTATATTTTTGTACCAAACTAAGAGTCGTGAACGAATGTTTTTTCAGTAAATGCAGTCAAGAAATGCGGAGGTCCGGGTTGGTTCGCCGCGGTATTCGCCCTTCCCGCCAGGTTAAGAGGTATTCAACGCCATATGGTCTCAGCAGCTCAGTGCATCGTAAAGCTCCAATGGCTACAAATCATGAAATGAAGTGATGCGTGCGTTGCCCCGTGTTTAAGTTGGCAGTTGCTTGTAGAGGACAATGAACGCGCACGAAACATGCGCTTCATATTTCATACAGGATATGCTCATGAACGACAAGCATGACTCGCCAGCGACAGCCACTAGTCTCAGATATCATGCATTTCTTAGCCATTAGCAGGAAAACATGTACCGCAGGTGATGCTTTGAGGCTGACGATAAAGAATCATCAAAGCCCGTCGTTTCTTGTCTGCTTGTGCTCGGATTGCCGGACATCGGGCGCAGCGCGTGGTGTTACTCTCTTGTGATGGTGACAGATTTGTGCTATGTTTACAGTGCCGATTGAAGTCTTTCAGTTTTTTGCCCAGGCTTGACTTCACCCTTCTCCGTGGTACTATGCAGAAGGGTGCATTCGGTACTTACCTTCTTCTTTGTCGTTGGAGGTGAGCTAAAATAACATGTAAGCGGTCTTAGTGAAACATTTTAGTTGCTTTGATGTAATCTGTACGGTCGTTGACCTATTGCATGTCAATGTCAGGCCATGGATTCAGCGAAGGCAGGCTCTAGGAAATGGTTCAATCTGATGCAACAGTGGAGTATCAGACGAAACGATGCATGTTTGAGAGAGTTCCTTAGACAACACAACAATTAAGATAGCAAATTCCATTAACCTGGGGTGAGTTATGAAGGACAGACCAAAGTCATAACCAACCTGCTTTTTCACTTGAGAGCTTGCTGTATGGGGTAGTTCTTGTTGTTCATTTAAACATATTGACGGCAGGATCGCATCACATATCTTACATTGACTTCTTAGAGGTTGGAATAGGTCGCTGATCTAAATGGACCCACGTAACCATCTTTTTGGAAACCTACCGCTTAGCGTAATCCTTGAAGCTTCAAATACAAATGCTAAGGCAATCTTGTGTGATTTTGGTCACCATGACCTCGTAAAGGTCAAACAAGGTCGCTGGCCTAAGATTAGCACCAATGAGCATTTGCTTTGAACATGCATCCAGGTTCACGATGGTTGCATGAGAACGTCTGGGTGCACTTTGGACATCAATTTGGAGTTTGCCTTGTCTTCTGTTATTGTTTCGATAAAAGCATGATGGAGAAATATCAACCCATCTATATCCCTATTCTCCTGATTTTTCACCGAAGAATAAGATTATTACTTTTATCTCATCCATGTGAATGATGTTACTCGAAACGCACCTAGCAACTTGTTTAACCTTATGAACAGAAGGTCATAGCCTAGGAGCCTCAAACTTTGAAACAAATGAGCTCACATACAGACACACCCTGCGAATTTGGGGTCTCTAGCTTTCTTAGTTGTTGAGATTTGAGGCGGTTCAAATCCCATCCGAGCGAGGAGCATTGAGCTGGGCACCCGGGCGCGTGTTAAAGGGAGTATTCCACATTTGTACGGGGTTTTAAACTGAAATAGCCACCCTCAGGATCAATCGATGCAGTCTCCAGCCCATCTTAAGGCCTAAAACCGTCTAGTTTATGCGCTACACACCCGCGAAGCTGTGCAGACCTTTTCGGAGAGACAATCAATGTTGTGCATGGTACGATAACGTAATCAACCACTGACGCATTGAGGAGCATATTCACTAAAAAGAGAAATCGTGGCGTCCGTAACGGCCTTTTCCACTCAAAAGCAAGCCAACAGTTATAAGTGAGCATACCTTATTCCTCAGATAAAAAGCCAGGAAAATGGAGACATAGTTGGTCGATATTTCGGCAACATGCTTTTATCGAAGCAGTGGCAAAAGTGAATTCAACATTTTGACTTTTCACTCCTGCTATTCCTTTCATAAAGGCATGTTCCCAAAATATCAACCCAACTATATCTCCATTCTCCTGGTTTTTATCCGAGGAATGAAGCTTATACTACTGTCTTATCTATGTGAGTAATTTTCCTTGCTAATGCGCTGAACAGCTCACGTAAGTGAGCACACCATTTCACATTTGATGCTTGCTTTCATATCTTCAAAGGTTGAGCATTATAAGCGGAACACGTATGAGTCCACTTTTTAAAGCTAGTGCTCGCGATTGATCAGTCATAAAAACGCCTGTTTTTTGGCTAGAGATCTTTTACGAAAGCTAAATATCACAAGATAGACTACTTTTCTTAATTATACAAGTGGTATATGTGACTAGCCGCACTTCAGTATCATGAGTCCATTCATTAGCGTAGACCGCTTTAGATCTATGGGATTTTGTCGATTAGCAAGCACCACTTTTATGATAACATGCAGCAGAAGAAACTCAGTCCTAGAGAGTCTCATATCTAACTATTTTTTGTGATCCTACAAACTTTTACATCATAGGACACATAATGCCTCTGAATTTTCTATTTTTATAAATTATGACCAAATGTTTTGATATGATATCCCAAACTGGAAGCTGTGACTCACCTCTGCCCCACCAAGGTCTTGTCAAAACTCTGCCCATGGTTTGCTGGCCGTTCAACATGAAGTTTGGAAGTAAACTATTTCTGGACCCCAAGAGAATAGCAGGCTTTTCCGTTCAAAGGAGATTTAAAAAAAAAATTCCCAATGCGATATCTATCGTCGGATTTGAAAGTTTTCTGTGACTTGCCAATTTTGAGTGATAAAACCACGTTATGATGCCTCAACATCCACTCAAACAAGGTTTTCGGTCACAAAGTCTGAAAAGATAACCCAAATTGAAAATTGAGGCTGATTTTTCCCCCCACCTCTGCCCCCAACGAGATCTTGTCGAAACCTGTCATACTTTGCATATGGAAACATGACCACTTGCCCTCCAACCTTCAACGTCAATTTATCAATATATCTTCAAAAAATCGCTGAAAGTGAGCATTCAGGACAAATGGCTGAGCTTTTCAATTTCTAGCAGAACCGCTATCACCCTCCATCAATTTATAGAACGGTACCTACCTGAAAAGCGACGCGACTGAGATGAAACTTGCGATCCACACCAATATCTGCAGAAAGCCAAAATCTCAATCTAATCTACTAGATAATAATATATCAAAATAATAATCTAAATACATAAAATAATAATATAAATATATCAAATAGTAATCTAAAATCTCAAAATCAAAAAAAAATCGACACCGCGTGAGGGAGTTTTTCAGCGCAATCACTTCAGGGTCAGCTGACAATCGAATAACTTAGGGGAGCGCAGCCAGGGAAGGGGTTGAGATCCCGTAAATATTTCTTAGGCCTGAAATATCTTACATCCAAAACAAATGGCCCCTGAAAGAAAGTTGAAACTCGGCATGAGCTTTATCACTGAGCTAAAAAGCCCACCCCTCAAAAAATCCTGGCTGCGCTCCTACCCACTTCCACATGACTCACTGCAGCAGCCAGGGGCACAACTGGTACCTCGTCAACGCAAATGGCGCGGCTTTGATGGTCTTGGCGGGGCTGGGCGGATCCCTCGAGCTACGTATTTTCCATTGTTCAAGCAAAGCTCTTTCGACCTAGGACGTCAATATCATCAAGAATATCTACCGCCAGCGTGATTCACATGCTTTGCATGAATTTCTTCACCTCAGCACACGTATGCAATGGCAAACTAACGCAATTTGTGACTTACATATACCGTTGTGCACCGTCGCACCCTTTTGACGTCTGAAAATGCTTGCTGTTCTGCCTGCCCTGATCAAGCAAATATCCCCGTAACGAAGATAACCTAGCAGTCGAAGCAGTAATGTACTGCATGTGCATCCCGCACAAGTACCGATAAGACACTTAATAATACGTTGGATAACTTTTAGCGTTGATAAAAAAAAACTTCTGCTAATTCAACGATGACTTGTATCAAAACTTGTGACAGGAATATATTCCGAGTGTGGACCCCGAACAAGTAAACACAAAATATTCGGGCCCTGTGCTTTATATAGAGGCGGGTTAACTTTACACCTGCCGGGATACGCCGGTCTGCACCCATCATTGTCAATGATCTGATCAAACATGACGCTTCGTAAAGCTCTCAACGGCGGGAAAACCCTCTGATTTGGAATTCATTTATTACTGGGTTGCTCCGGACTGGATCGGAAAGGTCCAACGCGATGCGGATTATAACTAGATTAAGTGCAAAATTGGCTCGCTCGGCAATGTGTTGGGACGGGATAAAGTCTACCGTCAATTCACGGAAAGTGTGGAGGCGGGTGAGGGGTACGGAACATGTGATAAGGGACATGGGCCCTCCGACCACCTTCATTTTTACACCCATGTCGAGAGTGATTTAGAAACTCCGGCCGAAGGTCCTGATGGGCTCCAAGCTCCCCCCCCCATATCTGGCATGGCGAAGGGATGGTTCACAGGAATAGGGTGAACGATCCCTTCGCCACATGCTCTCAGCTCACAACAACCGCGTCAATGGAAGTCCTTTCTCGCGAGATCCAGCTCTTCCGGAGATCCCGCCAACCCGGCGGCGCCCCCCCCCCCCCTCCCCTGCCTCTCACGGCTCTCACCCGCGGCCGGCGAGCCCGCGGCAGCAGACGCTCCCAGTCTGCGACACAACATGGCCGTGGTGAGTGTGGGGCCTGCCGGGCCTCCGCGGAGAGCGGTATTCTGTGACGGCTGCCGGTGCGGGGCCTGTGCCGACACTGGGGCGTCGCGCGATCGGTTTTCTGTGAGGTGTTGCAGCGCCAGAGCACGCTGCCAGTCGCTGACAGCCGAGAGCAACAGCTGTGCTCGTGCGCCGCAGATGATGTGATGCGTCTGGTTGACCTTGAGGTCGGGTTGCGATAGGAGGCCGCGCTTGAAGCGAATGCTTGGTGACTACGTTATTCGGCGCGGTGAGATCCATGTGGTATGTCTGCCCTTATTCGATCATGTCACCGTGTATCTGCTGCTCCCATTAATGGCGGCAAGATCGTACGCCGATCGTAGCGGGACGACAAGTCACTGCCGGCAGCGGCATAGTGAGGTGGGAACCCGCGGCCCCTGGCTATAGGACGCGTCCTAGCGTCGTGTTCGGCACCCGCTAAAGTTACCCCTTGGAGATAGGGCCGTTATCCCAAATTGGTGTTGTTTAGCACCATTAGTCTGGATGCTGAGCAGCCATGCAGTAATGCCGTCTTAGGTCAGCTTCGCGGTATAAGAAGGTAATAAGCAGGGGAAAATGGTGAAACCTACCCCTAATATACGCCAGGAAAATAAACAGGTTTTCTCTAGATACGGTCCGTTTTTTTCTCAAATCTAGTGGAGCGAAGGCCATCCAACTGATAACCATCCCAGTGCTGTAGGTGCTTTTCACAGCATTGTTGTTGAAGACGGCTAAGTTCCCGCTTAAGATATAGAGCTGTTTTGACCAGGCTGCTATTAGCTAGTCAGTGCAGACGGGCCCACACAGACGAGCCCACTATGCTATTAACTAGTTAGTGCTAGGGGCCACGGACGTGAGTTTTCCTCTCTCGGGACCTGAACCTAGCCTCTGAGCGTATGTGCACAGACTGAGTGGGGCGATCTCTGTGGCTCATTAGAACAACCCTGAGGGGGGTGACGTTAGCTCGCCGTAAGGGTGCCGAGCCGTGCCGAAATTCAAAATGATCGGGAAGATGTACATGTGGAGGACTAAAACTGATGTGGAGGGCTGTCTTAACAGCTAGTTCATGTAAAACAGCACACTGCGCTTTTTTGAATATATATATATATACATATATATGTGCGTGTGTGTCTCTATATACGTATATATATATATATATATATATATATATATATATATATATATATATATATATATATATATATATGTATAGCGTTGCCTCCGAATCCAACAGTAACAAATTCAGATAAATCGGTTCAGGATATACCGGAACACATATTTTACTGACCAAATAGTTGATACATTCTTGTAAAATTTTGGTGTGAACAAAATCTCAAAATTTAAGGTTCGGAAGAAACACAGGTTATGAGTATGCGAAAGGAGACTGCCATTCTAGCTGATCATGTATTAAGGTACCTAACCGGGGGCAATTTTATATCAAAATTCTAAGTTTCCGCGTTTTGTTTGCCCTTTACACTCCCTGGATCTATATGCTGCTAGTATTCTTGTTTATGCCCGCGTATCACTTGAGTTCATTCATTCAAGTAGATTTGACAAGTCTTGACGAACGGAATCTGTTTATAAATTGACCACCGGCTGCAGCGTTTTATAGCAGTAGCAGCAGTGACGAGTATTTCGCTATTCTATCCTGTCTTTAAGCGTTAGGTTAAGTTGTATTTTCGCACTCAATTGGAGGCTTCTGGCCATCTACTTTAAGAGGAAGGTCGGTAAAGTTCTGGTGGCAATCCATTTTTTGTATGTTTTAGCGAAATATATAGCCATATTTACCGTTCGGCCGGCAAAAGCATTTGTTAAAAATACGCCCATGGGGCAAGACCTCTCCATCAGAGTGGTCCATAGCCACCATTAACGAAATAGCGCCAAACTTTTGGGGAATGTTTGAAGGGTGGAAAAATGAATTCTTCAATGTCCCTCTCAAACATTTCGAAACCAAGGCCGAAAGAGAAGAGCCCTCTCATGCCCCTCACAGGAGTGGTATAACCAGGCACCATCATGCATACGTAACGTTGTGACGCACTCCTTGCGAACGGAGCCTTAAAGCGAGCGGAGCCAGCACCTTCTCGTCAATCTGTTCCCCCCCCCCCCCCCACCCGGGCGCGGTTCCGGGTGCGGATCCGGCGGCAGCCGCGGCGAGTGACGTGGTGTCTGACATCAGTGGCCGGCCCAGTGCGGTCGCCCGGTGGGATAATGTCCGACGACTGGCCTTGGCGGAGGGGCCGCCGTGACCCTGCTGCTCTCTCCACATCCCATACTCTGCCCGGTCGGGTCCGCATGCAAAGGTGGGGCCGGCGGTGGCCCTCCACACTGAGCAGTGCTCAGGATAGAGGGGGACGATGCTGGAGCATCTCAGGGAGGGGGTGGCTGGGTGGAGTGGAAGGAGGGTGAGTCTAATGTTGACCGATGTGAGTTCCTTTTTAGCGCCGATCCTCGGCTCTGTTCTTGAGTCTGTCCCTTGCGTCCTCGGCTCTTGCACTCAAACTGGATGACCGTCAGGATATCAGGAGCTGCTAGTTAACATATTTCAAGCTGTCACTGGGTTACCATTGTAGTATGAACGTATTCAACGCGTCGAGAAGGGCTTATTTTCACGAGTGAAGTAATACCATGAAGTTTCCGTGATGATTTTTATCTCCACCAATCTTCTGCATTAAAGGAGCTGCTGGGAAATGGGTTCAGCCCATGCGTTTAGGCGTAATGCTGTAGCTCAAGGTAACCATCATTTCCTGGAACAAATGTGCTAATTCCACCTGGTTTTCAGACGGTTCTCCTGCTCTCGGTGCTCACGCTGGTGACGCCATCTATATCCCTCCCGTTGCCGCAAGACGTCAGCACCGCTGTGGACTCTGATGTCGTGTTTATCGTGCCTGGTTCGGATGAGCCAGAGAAGCCTCCCGGGTACCAGTACCAGCAGCTGAACCCGGCAGACGGCAGCTACAAGTAGGTGTAACGTTTAACTTACTGGATACCAGCCCCACCAGGTGAAATTAGCCGATGTCAACCACAAGTAACTGTAACGGTAAACCTTTCAGATCCGGGTGCCAGTACCAGCAGCTGAGCACCACGCACGGCGGGTGTAACTGGCGGCTGATGGAGGAATTCTTTTGGGCCTCATATTTCCCACTAAGATTGCCACATAGTGTACATATTTTCGTCCTGTATAACCACATAGGGTATAGTCGTCTGCTTCACACCTTAGAGAACTTGTGTGTTTGAGTTGGAGAACCAGAACCAGTGCGCTGACAGACGATGCGCAAAATTTCCGGGAGGCAGCCAAGCAAACTGAACTAAACTCTGCTTCTAAACTACTCGTAACTATTCGCGAGATCGGTCTAGGTTTCGGGACAACTACCAGATCAGTTTGAACCACGCCGTTCAGTGCAGTTGAATGGAGGCTAGCAGTTTAGCAAATTGATTCAAGAACGGAGTGTTAACTAAAACTTTCTTAAATCCAGGCGATTTCTGAACGTGTCATGGTGCCAGGTTTCCGCGATATACCCTGGTATATCGCGGCTCTGGTTTCTTTAACCATTACCACAGGCATATCTGTTGGTTCTCGGCTTAGTAACTTTTATTGCCAAACAGCCAGAAGCTCAATGTCTTCCTCACTCCCATGAAGTATAACTTCATGAAGTAACACTTCCATAAAGTATATTCCATGAGTCATTCTGCCAGACGTGTTCTTTTATTTTCTACTTCGGCATATTTGTGTAGGTGCGTAAGAACATTTTCGAGTCGCTGATAGTAAAGCTGAACTTGGTGTAACTGGGAAAGGCATTAAACTCCTGGCTATTCGGCAATAGGAGTTATTTTGCCGACAGCTAACAGATCCGTGATACACCAGAGGTGCTGGTTGACGAAGGCAGACCCGCAATATGCCAGCGGCACTGGTTAAATAAAGGTAGGAAGAATGATCAGAATAGCCAACGCAAGAATATTTCATGTTTCAATGCAGTACTCACATCACGAACAATCCGTTCAGCTTATTTTGTACAAAACCCCACCAGTTTGTGATGTAGTTACAATGACGTCCTTCTATCCAACGGTCTATCCAACCCTTACCGTGCAGTGGCTACTCCATGCATCGACGTCATCATTGACGCTTTACGGCGCCCTCAGCTCCTTTGGCTATAGGGCGTCGCCTGCCTCTCACCCTGGCAGGAAGGACGGGCACCGCGGGGAGCCGAACCCAGTGCCTTTGGTTTCCCAGATGCCCAATGGCTAACACAAACGTGTTGACCATTACACTATCGGCACCCCCACCTACTTCGTACCAAAACGTGGCATGTGAAAACCGTTGATGTAAGATTAGGTTTGCGCGAGCTATTCGTTATCGCTTTCCACGTAACTGCATCATAGTTTTGATATTTTGACGCCTGTTTCTGTTACTCAAAACACACCGCTGCCCATCTGACCGCATGTTCAAGACAAGGCGCCGCATTCTATCGCGGTTGCAAGCACAGCTGTCTCAGGTCACGTGGCTGTTTCATTACCTCACTTAACGAAGACTTGCCCGTTGCTAACCAAACGCGTGAAGCAGTTTTTTTGGAAAAAAACGAATGTTTTAAGTTTTGTGGTAACCGGCTTTGATGTGCCTTGTTTTTGTGGTCTGTATTGTAGAGACGAGGGGCAGCACATCCTGAAACCCTGCGGCTTACGTCCGCTTTGACTTGTTTGAAGATAACGAATTAAATGTAATCCAAAGCGCGTTTCGTTCAGAACCGTTTCGCGCCAATCAAAAGCGCGTGAAATAGATCGTGAAAAGTGCTACAATGCTTCTGCACTGCTAAGCAAGAGTACTTCCACTGGATGACTCATTCCAACTGACAAAATTATGCCAGTTTTTCCTAGGGTTGAGAAAGCAAATAGGCAATCTGTACAGGAGCGGAGACTTCAAAACCACCCACCCACTTCAGTCATATCCTCCCCTCTCTCTCTCTCTCTCTCTCTCTCTCTCTCTCTCTCTCTCTCTCTCTCTCTCTCTCTCTCTCGCTCTGTCTCTCTTGCTCTGTCTCTCTCCCTCTGTCCTCTCTCCCTCTCTCTCTCACTCTCTCTCTCTCACTCTTTGTCCCTCTGTCTCTCACTCTCTTTGTACATATATATGCAACAAAATTAACGATGCATCAGTCAATAGACATCATATGTAGATTATTGACCATGAAAACATCACGATATTCCCCGAGGTAACTCCAAAGAAAACTCAGCGAGCGACAGTGGCGTCATCAGCGGACATCAGTGACGTCATCTCTGGTCAATAGTCGACCGCTGTTGACAGCTCATCGATGCATAGTTCATGTCTAGCCGTGACCTAGCTATGATATCTAGTTCCTCATGCCCTGTCCCCGGGCATGGCCAGACTTATTCGAACCCCGCTGCGACATTCGGCTAGATTTCCCCATATATCGCCTAGCCTGCCCACTGACTTTTACGCTCCCCGCCGCCAGATTCGCCTACGAGAACGAGGACGGGGGCTTCCGGGTGGAGCAGCGGCTGGGCAGCGGGCAGCTGAGGGGCATCGCGGGCACCAGGGCCGCCGACGGCACCGTGGTCGACGGGTTCAGGTGGGCAATCCCGTCCCCAAGCTGCGATCCCGGTTGCAGAATGAGATGAGAGGGCTCATCATCCCCGCCGCCAGGCACACATGGTACTTGTTCGAACGCCGTACATTTGTGTGCAGCGTTCCACCAGCCGGTTTTGGGTTGGCGACCAAATGATCAGGGACCTTCGCTCGAAGGATCAGGGACCTTCGCTCGAAGGACCAGGGACCTTCATCTAGCCGACTAGCTCCTTCCGTGGTCATGATGGCCGATGACTAATGCACAGTTCAAGTACTGAGTTAACTTTTAACTGAGAGGTACAAAATGTATTCCTTGTCATTTTAATTGTCATCAAATCAGTTCACACTTATCAAGACAAGTAAGTATGGAACGCTTGGGTTATGAACACTGCTCCAACGGTCAGCAGAGTCGAAAATCGAGTAAACGGGAATAGGGTTGCTTTTTAGCGCAGCAGCAGTCGAAAGCGGACATTTGCAAGTTTTGGTGACCCTTGGGTCACTGTGCTCACAATCCACGTCCTTTGCGAGCCTATCTCTCGTAAATCGAGGACGCCACCTTAAAGGATGGGCTGCGGTGATTTGCGGTGATTTCTCCGGCAGGCTTTTTTGTGCGCGTCATCACTTAAAAATATTTCTCTTACTGGGATCTGCACGCCCATTCTGTGCGATTTTTTTTGCCTCGCTTGCGATGTCAGCAGTCGATGAAATTTTGTCAATTATCATGGAATCCAGTAACACGCATGCAGAGCTGTTGGCGATACCACTGTCCCAATCTCAGCATTCATATACGTCATTGTCCTATCCGCTCTTATTTGGCCCTCCGTGAACGCATCTCTTCGACTTAACGGGCGGAGGGGGGAGAGGGCAGGAGGATAAGGCTTGCGGCCTCTCTCGCTACGCGGGCGGGGGGGGGGGAGGGGAGGGCAGGAGGATAAGGCCTGCGACCTCTCTCGCTAAGCTTCTGGTTAACTGGACCAAAGCATGCATGCGCGCCACGTAAAGTATCGCTCAGGGATTTCAGCGCTGTTCATCCGCGAAACTCAACGCCCAGCTGAGCCATAACAGCCCGCTCATCCGTCTGATGCAGGTACAGCTATGAGGGGTACGGGTACAAGCAGGAGCCGTACACCTCGGAGCAGGTACCGACATTCCTGCGCAGCGCTGCTGGACCCGAGGGTCTGCCGCAGCTGGTGCGCAACCTGCAGCTCTTCCCCGAGTACTTCAGCTAGGGCGGAACAGGCGCAGCTGCTGAACCAGGCTGTCGCGTACAGCGCTGGACGGTCGTGGCTACTCGTGGAGGGTCCCCCGTATCCGTGGAAATGTCTTGCGCATAGCTGGCGCGTGCACAGCTGACTATAATGCATTCTAACTGCTGCAAAAATAACCAATGTGGTTGTGGGGTCTATTTCGTACATCCTTTTCTCAACAAGAACCTTTGCTGTTTTTTTCGAATGCTGTAAGCTGAGCTGGGCACTTGCCTCAACGGCGGCGCGTCCAGTTTGGCTACGTGTTTCCGATTACTGGCCGCGACCATTGCAGCATACTTTTTCAAATGACATACGTCATATGTCAAGGTACGCAAGGCTTTACACTGATTCAGATACTCCGGTAGGTAAAAGAATGCGTCTTATAACAGTAAATAAATTGCTGCAAATCCATGGTTTCAACTGCTTATCCGGAAAAAGTGCCGGCGCATGCTACTTACCGGCGTCTTAGCGAAGAGGCTGGCATGTTTGGGGGGATAAAGTCACAACTGTCATCACAACTAGCATGTTTTCCCACTTGCAATGCAGTCAAGATAAGTCTGGTATTAGCTGCACCACACGGAACAGGAGATTGCAGCGGGTTTAAGTGTTTTGGACATTATCCTGCGGTTATTCGCGCTATTCACTTGCATTTCTGGCAAACATGAGCAATCCACTTTCATATTATTTACCTTGCAACACGTCAGTCTCCGAAAACATACGTGCCAGTTGTGCATCTGCAACATTGAGTGTCTTTATTGTTTGATATGGTATGCAATGGAAGTGACAGATTCATGACTCCGAACTAGATAGAACTACACTTGCTTCTCTAATCACCTCGTCGGAATGCCCGTCTCGACATCAGCCACCCCCGGAGCAGTGCGCCGTTTTTGTCTCGTGATCTGGTGTTCCACGCGTCAGCCGGCCTCCTCTCCCATCGCTCACACGACTATGATCTTGGGCGGTTTGGCAGCCTCCCGGGCCTCGTACAGCAGGCTCGAGTAGTAGTAGAGCAGCGGGTCCTCCAGCAGCGGCGCCGCTTCTCGGCGGGCGCGCGCTGCGACGGCCGCACCTGCGCCAGGTTATGCCGCGCCGCCACCGGCACACGCGCGGCGCGCACCGCCTGATCGGAGACGCGCAACGCGCCTGTGGGCAGCGCGCCCCACGCCGCCGGCGCCGGCGGCGGCACGCCGGCGCGCTGCAGCGGCCGCTCCGGGTACTGCTGCGCCGGCCGCCGCGAGCCGCCACCAGGGGCGCTGGCGTCGCGGGCCTCCACTACCACCGTCTCGGCGTCCGGACTGCTGAGGCCGGCGCCGCTCTGCACCGGCAGCGGCTTGGGCGCACTGGAGACGGGCTGCGCCGGCGCGTCCGGCGCGCCCGGGTAGATGGGCACAATCGGCTCGTCCGGCTCGTTCGCCGACGGCTCGTACTGCGCGGGCTCGTACTGCGCCGAGTCGTACTTCGGCGGCTGGTCGGGGACAGCGGCCGGTGGCACCTCGTCTTCCAGCGAGATGACTTCGGCGTCCAGGGGAGCGACCTCCTCGGGCAACGGCACGTACTCCTGCGGAGGGGGTTTGGTGGGCGTGAGGGCAATGCGGGCTAGTTCGAGACCAGTGGCGGAGTAGGTGGTGCTCCGAAAGGGGATCAAGTGCGCAGCAAACGCTGCAGCGTGGGACGAAGGTACGAATATGCTTCACAGACTTGTAATATTTTAAAATTGCGCTAATTTGTGTTTGATGATTGCCCATACCACGGCACATAATGGTAATCTGACATTCAAACTCCCCAAAATTATGTTCTAATTCCCGTACTCTTACGGAAATACTGAAACATTGAGTGCCGCGCCTTGCTCCACCCAACACCCAACACAGCGTCCCCTTTACAGCCGAGCCTTGCTCCACCCAGCTCCCAACACGGCGTCCCCTTTACCGCCGAGCCTTGCTCCACTCAACGCCCAACACAGCGTTCCCCTACCGCCGAGCCCTGCTCCACCCAACACCCAACACGTCGTTCCCCTACCGCCGAGCCTTGCTCCACCCAGCGCCCAACACGGCGTCCCTTTTGCAGCCGAGCCTTGCTCCACCCAACACCCAACACAGCGTCCCCTTTACAGCCGAGCCTTGCTCCACCCAGCTCCCAACACGGCGTCCATTTTACCGCCGAGCCTTGCTCCACCCAACGCCCAACACGGCGTCCCCTTTACCGCCGAGCCTTGCTCCACCCAACGCCCAACACAGCGTCCCCCTGCCGCTGAGCCTTGCTCCACCCAACACCCAACACAGCGTCCCCCTACCGCCGAGCCTTGCTTCACCCAACATCCAACACAGCGTCCCCCTACCGCCGAGCCTTGCTCCACCCGACACCCAAACACGGCATCCCCTTTACAGCCGAGCCTTGCTCACGCAACCCCCAACACGGCGTCCCCCGGCCGCCGCGCCTTGTAAGTGACCGGTGCTGACCTCTCGCGGTGGCTCATTGGGGTCGATGGGAGCTCCGATGGAAGCGGCCGCCGCCCGCTCCCACATGTTGCGCCACAGCCGGATGTGCGCCGCTTTGATCGCCGCCACGGCGGGCTCGTCGCGCGGCGCCCGCGCTGCCAAATCTGGCAGCACGGCTCTCTTGACGTGGAAGCCCGTGTCGTCCGCGTAGTACGTCATCGACAGCTTCTCGTCTGGGCCAGGCGCGGGGTCACGCAGGGGTCAGAGGTCAGAGAGAAGCTATGCTCGGTGGAACGGTGGCTACATGCATATATCTGCTGTGCCTATTTTCAAACGCTTGCAATACGTCCGCATCGCGCCACCGCAGTTCCGTTAAGAGCAGATGTCACACGACGGGCATCACTTAAAACGGACAGTTGAAGCAGGCTTAAACTCCAGGTCACGAGCCGCCCGTGCACCCGTGGTCATGAATGACACGCTGTGCTTTCCACCGTGCTCCACACCTTGCATGATTCACATGCGGATGTGACAACCTAAATACATGTCAAGGGCCACATTCGCGCCATACGTAAAGAACAACGTTCTCTGACGAGTGGTCAGAGCTGAACCCTGCGCTTTACCGTCGCCGCCACACACAGAGCTAAGCGGTCTGCTTACCGTTGGGGTCCCTGTAGGAGTAGCTGCCCTGTATGCGGCCGTTTTCATCCACGTATTCCTCACGGGCAGAGCCCGGGTGCTTGTAGCTGTAGCGGTACCTGCCCAGTCCGTCTTGAGCATGGTACTGCGTCCTGCCGATGCACACGACATCCAGTTATAACCGGATCCGCTTCAAAGATGGGCGCATGTTGCTGTCAGCTACCGCGTCGATATATTTTAAGGACATTTTTCAGGATGTGCTGACGGGTCTTGGGTAAACGGAATTGACAGAAGCGTTGTTCGTCAGAAATATGCCCAAACCATATCGGGTGCCTTTTCTGGTGCTGGTTGGGTCTCAAACACACTCCAAAATACTGCTCACACTCCAAAATACTGCTTATTTTGAGTTAAATTTTACTCTGCCGAGTTATCGGTCTTCGATATCCCATAAGGTACGGGCTGAACGACGTTAAATCGCAAGCACGGTTGTCTTGTGGATAAGCAAAGCGCTGTCTTTGAACACTTGAGCACTAAAATATTAGAGTACGGTACCCCCTGGTATACTGAAGGTCGATAACTCAGCAAAACAACTCTGAACTCATGGTGCCGAAAAACCAGGGACTAAGAGCCTTTCTTTTTTTAATTTTAAGCATGGTTCTCATGGTAACTCATCAGTTATGCGCTCCTACCAATGCAAATGTATGTCAACAAAGGCATCGGACGGAAGGTTCACAGGAACCAAAGCGCGGGAAGTTGACAAGTTTGCCAGGACCATATCCGATCAATCGGCAGAACTTGAACTGGAACCAGGTGACCTTGAGCTGCTGAGCTCAAGGCAAACTCCACTCGATGTGCTGTTTCCACCGCCTAGAGATGGGCTACAGCAAGCCGGCGCGTATTCAGGGGGAGCCGCCCGGCGGTGTTGGCACCTCAATCTCGTACACGCATGGAAGATACACCATAACACCGGTTTGGGGTGCCAAAAAGTGCCAATTTTTGTGCGTGTTCTGCATTTGTGAGCTTAACGTCGAAACCTCATTACTACCAGCGGTTTTATAAGCAAAGGACACATGCCACTTGTCATCAAAGAGGGTCCCATTTCGCCCATTGTAGCTGCTGGCCACGAAACAATTGGCTACACAACAGTGCTAAAAGAAAGGAACCCTAAAACTTTGATAAGTAGATGGACGAAAAATAAGAAGCTAATTAGATACCAAGGCGTGTTCGCCGTGAATTAGATGCCAAGACGCACTCATCAAAAGTGTTTAAGGCTATAGATATTAGCATACAGCATAGATATTAATACCAATTTATAATAAGATATCCTAACAGCTCATCGAAGGCCAAACAACCATGGGATGAACATCGGATAGGCACACAGACACACTGAAGTGGCGAATATCTCAAATCGGATGCCATCAGGCTCAAAGCTGCAAGGGAAAAGCGGCACGCGACTGATCAAAAACTTTTCAGCTATTATCAGCTACTGGGTAAAGATACATATGAAAGTCTCGTATTAGATATTATCAGTTTGAGAGCTCCAACACTGACAGCCGGTCTGAGGTAGAGGGAGAGAAAACCGGTGGGAAATTGGTGGAAAGCTTCTACTTGATGCACACGATTAGAGCGATCACAGACTGGTGCCTCCCCATTAATTGCAGCTGCAACGCGGAGATGGATGCTATCTATGAGTGGAAACATATTTTGTGTGACAAGAATGTGGGCTTGCATTCGGGAAAAGCTTTTCTTGTGTTTGCTTTGACGCCTATCAGCGGCCGGCTAAGATACCAGAGACGTAGCCAAAGGAATGGGGGGGGGGGGAGGGGATAAAGATTAGACGGGGTTTATTTCATTCCCTTGATCTAAGAAATTCATATTAGATATTGAGCGTTTTTCAAAAATTTGTTCTAAATTCACAGGAGATTGGAGAAAAAAATGGCAAATGTCCGCCAGGTAAGTCTTGGTCACGCACCTGCGGTAGTAACACACTTAGATCATGGCGCCCGTGCCACGACAGCGCGAATCACCCTAAAATCTGTCCGCAAATATTGGTCGTGCCTCCATAAAAATTGTGCTTGGCATGAACTCCGATACCATCTCCGTATGCTATGCGATACAGTTTGTATAAAGACTTAACGTCTGCGAAACCGGTACGAAGTTCATTCCCTTGTGGTACCGGTCGTTCCTGCCAGGGTGAGAAGCAGGCGACTCCATGTACCTTTTTGATTAATTATTTACTTATATAATTAATTTTTCAGTTGAGCATGACATCCTCCGTGTAACTAGCAACGTTCCCCTTCGCATTTTTTAACACACAACCTCCACTTTTGCATTTTCTTTTCGTGCTGTACGTTACATGACCAGTTGGAAGTGCCTCGCTTTGTTGTGTTCCGCTTTAATGTCGTGTGATCAGCCCGAAGTAAAAGCCGTGTCATGTTGCATCCTGCCATGCGACTCAAGCATTCGGACGTGAACTAAGAGGTCAATTAACTCACCGAGAGCTAACCACAAACATCGTCGCTAGCGGGCTAGACTGGAAACTCGTCATTCATTCTGAGTACTTAGTAATCACTCATAGTCGATTACCCAGTTTTTTATATTCGCAGGGTCACGAAGCAGCCATTATGTTTATCGGGTGCGCCTTCTTGGCGCATTAACCCCATCTGCGATATGCTGGGGTTGAGCGGTGTTAAGCGCCCATGGCGGTAATATGACTGACACACTCCGCCTATGATGGACGACCATAATTAAAACAGCTGTTTGTCAGGCGTAAGGATACTGTTGCTCAGGCGATTTCAGCTGTCAAGCTCGTTTATCGTTCGTTCCGATCAAATCAGCTCCATGCCAGTGCCGAGCGACACTGGAATAAAAAACCACATTACCTGGCACGGACGCCCATCAGAGGCATGGAATGGCAATGGATAGTTCGGTGGCAAAAACAGCCAAAGTCGGAAGGACGCTGGAAGGAAGGCGCGGTCCAGTGCATCGAGGCCGAGGCAGCATGCCTCAACTAACTCACGTTCAGACCGCTGAAGGTTAAACCATTAGGATACCTCTGGCCAAACCCTGTCTCGTGAGAGCATCAGCAATCTTTGCAGGGACATCGGTGAACTTAACGCGGGTGTCGTGATATTGGAAAACGACTTCAGCCGTGACGGTCATCAGCGCTGACGCCAAAAATGCTTCCGTTGTGTCTAATCCAGTCGGAGCGGGACACTCGCGTGTCGTTATCTTGGCGGATGCATGGGACCAAACCCTGCAGCAGGATACGTCAGCATCGGTGCCAAAAGCTCAGAAGGCGCCGGCACCCTTGTAGTGCGGCGTGTGGCGCCACGACATCGGAGGCAATGGTCCTTGGTTGGGCTGAGAACAATGGCGGGTTGGGCCCGCTTCGTGGGGCAACTGACCATGCTTTGCTGAGGAGTCCCACGCTGGGGAAGTTTTGGTAGCTGGGATCCGCTGTGGGTGCGAGCCGTGGGTCCGGCGGACTTCTGTTCGGCTGTTCACACCGTGAGATTTGGGGAGAAGGCTGAATTCGGCTCGAATGAGGCGGAGGTTCAAGAACATCATGCTTTGGCGGGACCATAAGCGAGGAACAATCTGGCAGGAATATAAGCGAGGGTCATCCTGTTCGGAGAGGAATGTGGGTGAGGAGCATTCTGTCCAGTCCAAGCATTGCCGACCAAATCCAGCGGCCATCCCATTCGACAGTAAGTTCACGTGAGGACATCCGACCCACAACGGGCCGTATGTGAGGCGCAGTCTGACTGAAACGGACTTGCAGCCGGCCGCTCACCCGACCCCACCGTCTGCCTCTGGTGCCCGGCCCTGAACAGTGACGGAGAGCGTCGCAGAAACTAACGGGAACGTATGCAGCCCGGGAGGAGCGATACTGGACGGCATCAGCGCTGGTGCCAGCGCGATACTGGACGGCATCAGCGCTGGTGCCAGCGCGATACTGGACGCCATCAGCGCTGGTGCCAGCGCGATACTGGACGCCATCAGCGCCGGTGCCAGCGCGATACTGGACGGCATCAGCGCTGGTGCCAGCGCGATACTGGACGGCATCAGCGCTGGTGCCAGCGCGATACTGGACGGCATCAGCGCTGGTGCCAGCGCGATACTGGACGCCATCAGCGCTGGTGCCAGCGCGATACTGGACGGCATCAGCGCTGGTGCCAGCGCGATACTGGACGCCAGCAGCGCTGGTGCCAGCGCGATACTGGACGCCATCAGCGCTGGTGCCAGCGCGATACTGGACGGCATCAGCGCCCGTGCTAGCGCTATATTGGACGGCATCAGTACCTGTGCTAAGGCGAGATTGAATGACATCAGTGCCTGTGCTAGCGCGAGATAGATGACATCAGTGCCTATGCTAGCGCAGATCGGCAAACGCTTAGCAAGAATGCTCCCAGCCTGGCGACGGCGGTTGAATTGAAATGACTGGATCGGATACGGGCCAGGTTTTTTCGCGAGCCGATGTTCATGATGTCGACCTGGTGATGCCGACCAGTGTTGCCGGCTGTTGGTACGAACATCACGTCGCAGCGGACGCGTCTAATTTGTTCCCCTCCCGCCGTGCTTTCAATACCGCTGCTCGCTGTGAGCTCGCTGACCCGACTCTCGGTCGGGCGTCTGGTGCCGCGTGACTCTCCCATCGCCCGGGATGCCACATGGGCAACGGCGCTGCCGCAATTTGTGATTCGCTCAGCGACTCAGTGACGTCACGGTGGTCAGCTTGAATTCGAATTAGTCATGGAGACAACGCGTGCATGACAATCACCTCATCAGCCATGCTGATATATCACGGTGGTTGGCGCTGAGATGAGAGGCGCTCCTTCGCTGCTGAGCTGAGCCTGATGCACTTCGGCAGATAGTTGTCAAGCCCGTCTTTTTTCCCAACTTGTGCCACCGCATGCCACGGACACCGTTATGCTCTGCTATGGCCATGGCATTACATCGTCTTAGAAGAGCTGGCGAGATGCCAGGTGACAAACCCCCGGTCCGATGGGCACATCCGGACAGCACTTGGGAGTCATGAGCTGGGGTGGTGGGGAGAAGAGTGGGACGGGAGAAGGGGGAGGAGCTGCAGGTGATGGGATATTCGCCGCCGCCACCCATCCGTTTAATGATCTCCATCGTGCGGCCGGAGACCTGATCGGCGATCTCCGCCGTGAGCCAGAAACGCTAAACGCTCCGCTGATTCAGTAGTTTTCCGCCGTTCATGATCCGTAGAAGCGCGCCATATCAGATAAGGGGCCCAAGCTAATGCGAAGTCGATGCCAAGAGCATCCGACAGCGAGCAGGCGGTAGGGGAAGGGGGGGGGGGAGCCGCTGCAATCCGGTGCCGAGAGTCCATCGCCAGAGGGCGAACTGCGAGCCAGCGCCGCTGCCGCCGGCTGAGATCGCAGAAGACGCCGGGACTGATAAGAGGCTTTTAGACGATCAACTCCATTTTGGACATGTGCACGTGGTCGGGACTAGAGGCACGGGCACGGGCACGGGCACGGACACGGGCACGGGCACGGGCACGGGCACGGGCACGAACACAAGAGTCACCGGAGCGAGGGAGGACTCACGCCGTGGCCGGCTCGCCGTCGGCGTCTTCCACGGGGTGGCTGATCTCGTAGGCGAAGCCCTCGGGCCCCTGCGAGGAACGCAGCAGCGGGGAGCCGTCGGCCGGCGCTGGGCCCAGCCGCTCGCTGGCTAGCGGCAGCTGGCCGGCCCGGGCTCGACGGCCGGCGCCACCTCCAGGACGATGCTGTCGTACTGGCCGCGACTGGGGCGCTCAGGCACAGAGCCAGTGCCAGGCACGGCCCCACCTGCAACGGCGGTGAGGGTTGGTGACGGCGCTGGCGGGCGGCGGCTCGTGAGAAGTTCGCCCTCAATGGGCCATACTCCATCCAAAACGGTAACCATAATTATGAAAAGGGTTGTAGGCTCTTGGCAATGTTGTACCATGATGGCTTATCATTTTTGAGTACACCAATTGCACGTCATCCGTAATCACTGATGCGATAAAATTAAGACGGCTGGTGTGTCGTTCTAGTACCTCACGCGATCAAAAAATTTAGATGACGGATAAAACAAAACATCATTAAGGGTACAAATACGTTACGAGCCTACCGGTAAGCCTGTCTTTGCTCATAGTGTTTGCGGTAATCAGCGTTTAGACCTTGCTGCGGATAACTTTGACACGACTCCGCACGCGCGGCTAACCGCCTTGTTCCACAGCACTGCCGCGCAACATACGCGAAAGCGAAGAACCGTAACAACCGTCCAACGTGCAACACCGGGAGCAGTTTGTTCTGTCAAGCGCCCACAGAAGCCACAGCTTGGTCATGCCAATCGCGCAGTCAACCGGCGATGGCCTTGCAGCTGCCCTTGCGGTCCGCCTTGTGTCGCTCCAGGGCTGCAAGCGAACCGACGCCGCCGCTGCACGTCAGCGTCCTGCCTCCTCCCTCCCCTTCTCCTCGAGACCTCCATACAACATCTGCAGGCGGGGGCCGAGGGCTGCTCGTGAGCCTGTCTTTGTCAGGGACGAATGCTCAATAGCGGTGGAGCGTTTGAGGGATGAGCGCCATGCTGGCCTTCCTTTGGACTCGCCCGACACGGTCAACGAAAGCCTTAGACACTTTCCGGTTTAGGGAGACTTTGCTCTGAGAGCATAACTGTTGCTGGCTCTGTCCCCATTCCTCATAAGCTGCTTTTCACGCCCCCGAAGTCGTGTGACCAAGCCGCGACTGTTATCTACTTAGGCTAGTTTTTCTCCGTACAGGCAGTCGATTCATCTGATGTCTAAAGCACCGAATTCTAGGAACCCTCTCTGCATTGACACCATGGGTTACCACACGCTTAGTACTCGTAAGATCTGTTGATCAATTTCCACGTCAACTCGCGGAAGCATATATATATATATATATATATATATATATAACCAATTATATCAGTTTTGAACACGTGGGTCCTACCTCCGTGTGAATTGCCCGCAAACCGAGTGAGAGCAGTATGTATCCGCCCATCACCAGGTGCGAATAAGAACTACTTCTCACAAGAACTTACCAAACGTCCTTTGTCATTATCGTCGACCTTTGGAAGGTCTGTTGCGTAAAAAGTGATTAAGGCCCATGCTATTCGACGTCAATTGGAAGCTAAATCAGCACCCGTTCTCCACGAAACAACGCTAGCCTTAAACTATCTCCTCCCACCCCGCCAAGGCCGGACTTTCTGGCCGGTCGTCCGCCGGACGCGGTCCGCTGGCCGGATACCTGCGACCTGCGCCACTAGAGTCGCCATGCACCACGAGTCAAGGTGAGCTACAGGGACGCGGACCGGTTCGGGTCGATGAACTTGACCTTCCACGCCACCAGTGCACACGCCCTGTTGATGCAATGCAGCGAGCGGGCCGGACTTATACGGCGGGGTGGAATCAGAAGCGACAGCCTCGTCGGACTCCATTCCATTTTGCTGGAACAATGTTTCCGTCCATCGCCCGTCATCCATCAATGCGGCCGAACTATATCCGCCACTGCAGCGGTGAGTCCCGTCAGCTGCAGGGGCGCACTGACGAAGGACAGCTGTGACGCTCACAGGTGTCGAGGCACCGATGCCAAGACGTTTTAAACCCTACACGGGCTCACATTTTGGACTTTAAACGGTCTGGTGGCCCAGGACCAGTGCTCACCGCTAATACGGAGCTCCCCTGGGAGCTGCGCCGAACTGAGGCACTAAGATGACGCTGCCGGTCCCTCTGGTGGGCCGACGACGGACATCATGCTACGGCAAACGCCTCGAATTAGTTTCACCATCACGCTGACCGCCTTGAAGGTGAGACCAGCTATTTATCGATGCGCAATGTCGCTGTTGTCATCAGCGACGCCACAGCCCGCCAGCAAAGCTGGTTTGCGGGTGGGCATTGAACTCCAGACCTTTCGATATTGAAACGATTACTCGGCACCACTCCACTGCTTATGCATTCGGGAGGAGTGTTGTTAGTTACCGAGCACAAGCTCGCGGAGAGCACAAGCCCTCTTCGCCCGAGACAAACCCAAAACACTGGCCAGACTGAGCGGGACCGATAGAACAAACAGACGTGAAGCTCAAAGACGCCCAGCGCTGCTGGTATCCTCACAGGCCTTCCCGAGAGCCCTGCCCGTGAGGTAATGAGATCACCCCAGAGCCACCTGCGAAGCCTCTCAGCGCAAAGAGATTGATTACAACACGCGCGACGGCGGGCCCGGCTTCCCCAAATGGACAACGCGGAACGCATGCAGCTAAACCGGGATCTCGTCAGAGGGGCATCGCGCGGAATCTTGCGGTCCACTCAACACCCAAAGCATACTTCTCTTTCCGGGAGCTGATCTTGAGGCGCATTGGCCTCAGCCCAGCTGAGAATGCGGACAGGGGCGGGCTGTCATGGGAGTTACGAAATGCTAATACTGTTGTTGAACTAGAAGCCACGGTCAGCAAGGTCAGCCGGAGAGGCCTGGTGTGGCACGGTCATGGCACCGGTTAATTTTAGCCTGTGGAGATTCAAAACGCATTCGCATGCGGACACATTTAGCTTACATCACGCTCCTCAATATTTTGGGTGACAGGCTTTTGCTGTACGCTAGTTAACGCTCTGGTGATATGTTTGTACTGGGCAAAAAACGCTGGTCACGTTCGGTTACCAGCATACCTAAATGACAGCTGAAAAACAGCGTTCGAATTTTGAGTTGCGGGTCCAGCCATCTGCTCGTGCACTGCGCTATCAGGATCTGGTCTAGTCACATGGAAAATGCTTGATACCGGTAAACTGTCGAGATCGCTCCATAGCCAGCGAGGACCGCTATTACGATAACCCCCTTGCCGAGATTCTAATGCCGTGTGCGGTTCAGCCGTGACCCAAATCTCTCAAAGCCGACAGCTCGTGACAGAGCGGGTATTGTGTTGCATGTCGCTAATCAACAGTTCCAAGAGCGAGTGCCATGGTGATCACGGTTCATGAGTATTCGATAGTGTAGCGGGATAAAGCCGCCATGCCACAGACAGCGATAAATCTCCATTTACCTGCTTACGACGATCTGGAAACGGCTGCCGATTTCCAATAGTGTCGAAGCAATCTAAACAGTTCTTCTGGATTGGACCGAAACATGTTCGACACGGTTAGGAACTCGATCGAAAGCAATTAAGAAGTTCATGAAAATCTTCCTTGAGTCGGAACAGGAACCAATTCATCTGCCGTGGCACTGCTTGAACCCATATCGTGTTCAAGCAGTGCACAGCAGCAAGTTCGCGGCTGATGCTGATTTCCAAATTCGATGCTCAGGTGAGGGTTGCTTATTGAAGTGCGATAGACATGGCCAAAAAAGCATCGCATAGGATAAAACAAATAAAACCACCATAAAACGTACAACAAAATCAGGGACAAAGTCAGCGTGGCATGTTTCAAATTTGGCTCATTTCATAAAACGGTGTGTAACAATTACGCAGCCGCATCCACAAGCAAAGTCGGCAGCTCTTTCGTGTGTACGTAGCATGGATGAAGCTCCATGTCTTTCCAGAGGGGCGGGGGGGGGTTGGGGGGGGGGGGGGGGGGGGGGGGGGGGGGGGGTGAGGGGCATGATTGCTCCCTCAGTAATCCTTTGGTCCTCCCAACTGAAACTTTAGGGTGCCGGTAGTGTAATGTTTAACACGTTTGCGTTAACCACTACGCGTCTGTGGGAAACACAGAGTAAGGGGTCGATTCCCCGCGGTGCCCGCCCTTCCTGCCAGGGTGAGAGGCAGGCGACGCATATAGCCTCAGCAGCTGGGTGCGTCATAAAGCCCCAATCACACCCACACAAGCTGAAGCTTTGGTTACCATAAAAGGAACTGAAATTGACTACCACTCCTCATGCATATGTAACGTTGGAGATATCTGACAAATGATAATACAAACTATCTCCTCTCCAAACGGCCGGCATTCGATCCTGGTGCCCACAGGGACATGGATCGCATCACTTCGGCAAGAATGGACAGATGGGCTGGAGATGGACAACCACCCTCATTGAAATGCACAGCTGAATTATTAGCTCCATATTCAGTGCTAAGCGGACTGGCTAGATGTGCCAAAAAATGCGCCTATTTGTTCTCCGACAAACATGTAAACACACCAAGATAAACGGAATGCACTGCGCTGATGTAAGCGATATAGCGGCATGGCTTAGTTAAATGTCAAGGAATGCACAAGTGCGTCTTTTCACTTGTTATTGCATAGCTTGTTTTTGCAATCTGGTTTTCTAAGACAACTTTCCCCGCTACCCTGTCTCAGTGTAGGGCAAAATCAAATCTTGGACGGTGTCACGCCGGAAATATTAAACTGGTATGTCCGTAACTGCCTGTTCCAGGTGCCAGGAGTCACAACCTAATTAAGACCTCTCCCTTATCTTCGACGCAATAAGATCCATGACGGTCTAGTACGATCTTTCACTACAAGGAATGCACATGATTTGCACATGAGTAGAATAACGCTGCGTCATACATAACTGACATCGACAAGAAGAGCCATTGAAATGCCTCGCACGACTGAGGCCAGCAGGTCCATAACCTCTGGTGGAATATATTACGATTGGTTGCAGCATCGCCATTCAAATAACGCCGGTCCGCAAAGGCGGTATCAGAATGGTTGCGCGCTTAACACAAAGTGCCTGATGTCACCAAAAGAGAATGATCGGCACAACTTATCAAAGGAAAGGACCAGAGAAATAAACTGCCAAATGACATTTTGCCATCTAAATCAACGCTGAAGACTGAAATATTACTTTGTAATATTATAATAGAATTATCCATTCCTGGCGCAGGCCGCAAAACAGTCACAAAATAAAATGCGTACTTGTTTCGTTTGAAGTTCAACACCTAATACACCGAGCGCACTGTGGTTTGTTAATGCATAAGAACATACACTGTCCTGTTTCGGTCTATGGTTTCCATGCTAAACATGGTGGCTACAGTGTCCATACAAGTACAGGTCACGGCTTGCAATATATGATACCTAGGAATCAACCGTCGGTGTCAGCAGAGGCCTTTCTGATGTGATGGACAAGAGCCGGTTTGCTGTCAAATGATTCAAGCAATGAACTCGGGTGAAAAATTATGATGAATAACTGCACAAATAAGTTCGCTTGATGAAATCCAAAAGAGTTTGCATTGTGAAAGCAAATAAAGTTTTGTTCATGAAAGCCTATTAAGTTTTCTTTATGAAAACAAACAGTTTGAAAACAAACAGCTTTTGCGTTTCATTCCCCCCATTTATGAGCATTCGATGTTAACAGCGTTTAGTGTGTTCAGTACTAACGTCGGTCGTCCAGTGTGGGCCGGCTGAAGACCCTTCGCTGCTACTAGCCCTCCACAAATGACGTGCCTCTGGGGACCTCCGAAGCCAGCATCTCATTCCGGAGGGAGACAAGTTCTAGAGACAGTCACAATTTCCCGGACGTCAGTCATAAGGAGAGAAGGCCTGCGATTGACAGGCTGGGGAACATGACCCCACCTAGTTAGCTACCTTTGAACACGGCCCTCCACCGAAGCCTACCCCTTCGTCAGAAGGTGGTCCAGCCCGACGACCATTCCCGTCGTTTGGCTGGCTCGTCTATCGCTCGCCTGTTTTTGAATCCATGGTGCGACATTCTTACTTCAAGAAATTTCGACTGCTCTGGGTTAATATAAACACCCTCTACCCGTACATTTTAACCGTACCTTTCCAGGCATCAATGTACAACTCACGTTGTTTTCGATCACTTCACGTTGGCGCTGGCTATGGAAAAATGTTGAGGTCGACAGGCCTGCCAAAACCGGGAGGTTCTTTTCCCAGCATTAAGTTACACTCTCCATGCATGTCTTAGTCCTCCAGACATCTTAAGACTGCGAAGTCACATTTGTTCGCGGGATCAAATAGCAACGCCAGGCGATGACAACCGCGCCCACCGTGGCCCGGCCGAGCAAAATGAGCCGCTCTGACCCGCGTGCGCCAGCAGAAGACGACTTCAAACCCATGTCACGTCCCCTCCGTCCACCTCTCCAGCGCGAGCTAGGCCAGACAGCGGGCCCGGCCGGCGCGCTCCGCCGCGGCTGATCAGGAAGTGTTGACACCGTCGGCCAAGTGGAAACCCGTCCGCAGGGCTGAGCGCTAGAAGCGCGCGATTGTCAGATAAGCTGGCCTCTGACCTGTGGAAGCAACGGGGTCGGTAACCCATTAGCTGCGCAGGCCCCTATCAGGCGGGGTCACTGACCTGACGTTGGAGATCGTCCGGAATCTGGTCTACGGGCACTGTAATCTAAAATCGCGGCGG